AGCACAGAATGATGCTAACTAATGTCAACTGAAGAATAGATATTTATTTTCATGACACATTCTAGTTCGAAAGTGTTCAAATCTAACTCATTTTTCCAACTTCCACCTTCCATGGGTAAAGTTTGCTTTGAAAATTATCAGATACGCTATCAAAATGCAATGAATACCTCAGAATCCATAAAGGCTATAGGTCATACTATGTGTGACAGTCTGATTGACTGCAGAGCCAAAGATGATGATGGCTCTTTCAGAGCTTATCTTCGGAAGTACCCAAATATATGAATAGCTCTTTTTACCAATGCATCTTAACAACTGCAACTACCCTCCTAGAACACTTACCTGCGTTTCAAAACACATATGTCTTAAAGATAGTCAAATTTGAAACAACTGGTTTCAAAGAAGATATAAATCTCTCCTCTTTGCGATCTTCTCCCTGTAGCTCTCAAATATATTTTGCCTTCACATCTACATACTGTTGCTGTGCTCTGCAGCTAACAAATAACTAGGAATTGTGTTATTCATGTTTGGTACCACCTCACTTGGGCATTCATCGAATCGCTATCTACCTCTAGTCCTTCAGCTGCACATTAGGGAAATGCAAGATTTATAACAAAAGAACCGTGCAGTTCAGCTATGTCTGTAATACATTTGAACACTGCAGCTGAAAAGAAGCATTAAAAATGCAGAGTAAGTGCTAGCATTAGCACTTATACTAAATGATAGATTTATGCTTGCTGCATTCACCTTCAAAAGTTTGCATAGAGGTAAAAGTATTTATTGAATTCTCTAAGAATATATTGATGTTTTAATCTAAAAAGGTATTATAAGATAGTAGACTGGACAGGTACTAAAATATTTTTAAAGGACAAGACATTTAAATTGGCCAAACAAAAATTACTGTAAAATCTTCATTCAAGTTCATTTCACATTTTTCAATATTTCCCATTTTGGGACCTCTCGAATCAGCACAAGGTTAATTCCTTCTAAAAAGCCTCCCTGAAACCACACAATCTTCCTTTAATACCTTCTAAAAAAGTACTTTTTCCATAGCATTCTTCTAAATCACAGATTTAAAGTTACACTTAGAGTAATTCAATTCATTCCCTTTATTTCACAGAATTTCTCTTTCCTGTATGTCTAACATCTAGGCTGCAGTATAAAAAATAAATGCATGTGCTCAACTTTACTCCAAATAGCTTGACCTTTTCATGTATGCCAAGATAAATAATACACAGGTAGCAACAGGATTAGAATCTAGTACTGAAAGCTTTCAGTGTCATGGAACGTCTTTTGTTGATGTCTTTCATATCAAAGATGCACTTTTATTTCTAACCCCAAGATGAGGAAATAAGATCAATTCTTTTCTCTTACTAATATCAACAAAATTATTAACTAATTTATGATGGCATTAGAGGTAGCAATAAGTAAGGCAGAAGAAAAGTAGGAGGAATCTCCCACTACAGGTGAATTTGCAAGGCTAGCTGTCTGCTAAGAAAATTACCTCTTTAATTTTCACACATTTGGGTTGAACCCTTTTCTTAAAAAAATAAAGGGATGCAATCCTAAAAAAAAATTTTATGGAATAAGGATTAACAAAGATCATGAGAAAGCAGTTATTCTGAAATACACTAGTAGCCTTGCTAACTCAACGCTGCTACGTACTCCTAAGAGTTAGGCAAACCTGCTTAAATGCTTTGTTTTCCCAGTAATCAAAAATATTTCATATGCATTTTTCTCTTCACAGAGAGGTTACTATAACTCCAAAATTTAGCTTTTATTTTAAAAAAAGTATAATATTAAATATTAGTAAGAATACTTAAACAAAAGTATAATTCTGCTTAAATTTCAACACTACCTTCTTAGTTTGTAACCCCAATGCTGCTGCATTGTGTTAGTAAAGAGAAATTGAAAAACTTTAAAATAAAACAGCTTTCTTGCTAGTGATGAGTATATTACAAATATGGTACCAAAGATAATTTTTTCTATTTTAATAATGATGTTATTGATCACTGTTACAAGTTACATGTCAATTTTATGAATGGATGCAGTCTATGCAACTCTAACTTTTGGAAAGACAAAAGTGTGTATATCTATATACATATATGCATGTGTGCGTGCATTTCTGACACACAGGCACACACTTGCTTTCTCTTTTTTGCCTTCTTGTTAATGCTTCTGTATAAAGGCTCCAAAAAGCATTTAAAAAAAAAAGTTCTAAGGCTAAAGACAACCTCCCTTTTTGAACATCAATGTATTTTCAAGTATCAAAAGACCAAAAAGGAAAATGCTGAAATTCCACGTGTTCGGTTCCCGTACTGAAAACGGAAGTGTGCCCTGTTACGTCCATACCCGTTTTCCACATACATATCTCAACTTGCCTAAACCCAGCCAATAAACCTTTGTTTGTTTTAACAGATTTTTGTGAATTACAAAAAAAAAAAAAAAATGTGGCTGACACACCAGAAGGCTGTGCTGCCCTTCAGAGGGACCTGGACAGGCTGGAGAGCTGGGCAGAGAGGAACCTCATGAAGTTCAACAAAGGCAAGTGCAGGGTCCTGCACCTGGGGAGGAATAACCCCAGGCACCAGTACGGCTGGGGGCTGACCTGCTGGAAAGTAGCTCTGCAGAGAAGGACCTGGGAGTCCTGGTGGACCACAAGTTAAGCATGAGCCAGCAATGTGCCCTTGTGGCCAAGAAGGCCAATGGCATCCTGGGCTGCATTAGGCAGAGTGTTGCCAGCAGGTCGAGGGAGGTGATCCTGCCCCTCGGAGCTGGGCCTGTTCAGCCTGGAGGAGAGAAGACTGAGAGGGGATCTCATCAATGCGTACAAGTACCTGAAGGGAGGGTGTCAAGAGGATGAGGCCAATCTCTTCTCCGTGGTGCCCAGTGACAGGACAAGAGGCAATGGGCACAAACTGAAACACAGGCAGTCCCATCTGAACCTGAGGGAAAACTTCTTTCCTGTGAGGGTGACTGAGCCCTGGAACAGGTTGCCCAGAGAGGTAGTGGAGTCTCCTTCCCTGGAGATATTCAAAACCCATCTGGATGTGATCCTGGGCAATGTGCTCTAGATGACCCTGCTTGAGCAGGAGGGTTGGACTAGATGATCTCCAGAGGTCCCTGCTAACCTCAACCATTCTGCAATTCTGTGAAATGTATTGGAAGCAACTACCCAATGCTTGCTCTTTGTTATTCACTTCACTTTTCTTTGGGGTTAAAACCCCAGATTACAGTCTCCTTTGAGAAAGGATTTGACATCTGCCTAGAAAGCATCATACACATAATTTGGGACAATTTAAAGAATTCCCCCATGAGAATAAAATGTAAAAATGTACAGGGGAAGTACTATTAATAGGCTTTATTTATGGAAACAATAAGAAAAACATGACAGCATTTTGCACAATGAACTTGACTGCTATATTTATGGGTTCATCACATACAAAGTTTTTCAAAAAAATTTTAACAAGAAGGCTTTTTAAGAACTGTGACATGAAAATTTATTTTCTGCCAGGGAGTAGTTTCTGGAATACTCAAAAAAAAAAAAAACAGAAAATAAAATAGCTTAAGACTATATGCTACCACCAGGCTTCTTGACTCACATCAAACTGTCTTTTCCTTTTTCATTACTGATTCATCAAATTCTACACATTTGTGTTCAATTGTCAAGAAATGCCCCTAAATAAGCATAAAGCTTTGGAGTGACAGGGAAAAAGAGTCAGAAGTTGTTAGTGATTTAGATGGTTTAAAAAAAAAATGTATGTGAGGCAACATACAGAAGAGGAGTCCCATACCAGCTGAGTGTTTCTAAAGTTAATCTCAAAGACTTAAGCAAAAGGACAGGGAGATACTGACACATTGTGTGGTTATAGGCAATTGCATTACCTTTGCGTTCTTCAGTCAATTCAGAAATTTTATGAGTAAATATAGAGTTAAATTTCCTGCACTCAGTAACTTTTAGGGGGGTTAGGAGGGGAAGGCATAATGGGAGGAGGTAATGAATGTAAGACAGACATTCCTGAGCTTGAGGCTGATCATGGTTTAGCAGTAAAATTGCCTAAAAACTAGATGTACAGTTTAAAAGGCCTCCTTCTCCTCCCTAATGTGGATATTAGTAAGGGGACTCTTAATTTATATTAGCATAACTGAAATGAAAGGCAAAAATAAATCTCTAGTTCAGGAATGAAAAGCAAGTATTTACTTGGACTGATTTTCTTCCTCATCTTCCAATTTTGCTCCCAGTTTTTAAGCTATCACAGATTAAGAACTAACAACCATTAAAATCCACTTTGAACATCACAGTAAAACAATGTTACAATTGTATAAATCAAGAGCCGATTGTAGTTTCCCTCCTATAAAGAGCTTATTTTGAAAATTTCTGTACAGCACTGTGTACTTTCACAAAAGCTAGACAAAAACCAATTCTTACATTGATGACAGCAAATGAATTGCAAACTGAGACTGTATCTTACATAAGAGATGAAGGAGATTTTAAAAGTTGATTATGAGAGACTAAGCAGGAAAAGACTGCATCTCTAAACTTATTACAACATTGACAAAAGACTAGTTGGGGAGCAATTCTATTAAACATTATGCATACTGATCTTTATGCTGTATGATCAGTTCCTTAAGCCAGGAAGGAAAAAGGACACAGCATTAAAGCGAAAATAACCCGTCATGTATACATTCTCCTCCCTTAAGTGAGGATTCCCTATTCCCTGCACATGCTTACATCTGATGCACAACAATCATTTACTCCCACTCAGAATGAGCAAATGCTATCACTGAGCCAGGCTTAAGGTCTGCAAGTGCATTGGGGTTTCCTGAGCACAGAGTTTACTTGTTCTCCTGTAAGAGTGCAATAGCATTCAAACCAAGGATGAAATAAAAACAATAGAGACTGCTCATCCTCTTAACACAGCTGCTCAGCACTACACGACTATAGTCTTGCACTCGTGTTTAAAATTAACGTGTACAAAGCCTTTCAGGTAATAGCTACATACCTGCCACTCTGGTCTGTAGTCCATGCAACAGATCTCCCCTCCGG